GGCGGCCTCAGGCGCTGAGGAGAGCGGGAGCCTCGCGGGGTGCTCCTTAACTCCCCTCAGGCCAGGCCAGGCGAGGGGGCGGCCCCCGCGAGGTACCTGCCTCAGCAGCGCCGGCTCCTCGCTGCGGTCCGTGCGCCAGCCTACAGCTGTTCTTACAGGAGACACCCGATTTTCACAGCAGGATACACTCACACAGGGAAAAGTAACTTTCCTCGTAGACTGCTCCAGCCCCCAAAATTTCAAAAATCAGCTCGCAAGGAAGGCTGCGTACAGCTGAAGTGAACGAAGTTCAATCAAAGATAATGGGGGGAGGGCTAAAAATAACTTTACCGCTACTTCCAGAGCACGAGTGGTACAAAATACCATCACAAGGAAGAAGTGGTGGTGGGGTTTTTTGAGGCTGGGGTTCTGTGGGGGGGAGGGGTTGTGTTTTGGTTTATGTTAAGTCCTTTTAAATGCTGTGGGTTCAGACTAAGCAATGGTGAGAGCAGCTGCTGTGCAAGGACTTAAGATGCCTCCACGCTCCTTGTGCTTTCTAGCCGATCCCTCAGTGGTATTTCTTTGCTAACAATATGGTTAGTTGCATCTAGGCCAGAAGTGGCAAGAAGATAATGCCACAACATATATTGCTTTGAATACTGCATCTGAGATAATTCACAGTATACAGCTCATGATCAAGTTAAGGTTTCATTTTCATGGATTTTAAGCAGAACCATTAAGATCCCAAATTCAAGACATACAACAAACAAGGGAAAAAAAGATTTTAACTTTTGTCCAATTTTAGTCTCTTCATTCAGCTGCATCATCAGAACAAAAATAGCACTCTGCAAGTGCAATAGTTCTGGCAGGTACAGCGAGATGACTGTTTTGCACCAGGTGGTGCTGGTTCATTACGATCCTGGTAAGAAAGGCACTCAGACTCTAAAGTACCACTTAAAATGCCATTTATTGGAGCTAAAACTATAATGGAGAGGACAGTATACATAATCTTACATTCCTTCAGGTGCTGGGAACCCTCAGCTGTGCAGCATCAACCAGGTCTCTGATCAAGATGCAGCATGTCACACAGATCCTGCCCATGGAAAAATTACACCATTTTGGTCACTCAAGCTATTACTGGATTTTCTTACAAGGAAACAACTCTATAAATTGTTTCTACTGCCAAACAGAAAGGATGTTCACACAAGAACCTCTTGCAGCATTTTCAGATAAAGGGCAGGCCACGCAGGGGGTATAATCGCGGGTACCAAGCAGGAGCTGCCCGCAGGCTCCTCTGGTACAATCAATCGGGTAAATTTATCCCATGGACATACGCAGCCCCACGTGGGCCTGGAGGCCAGGCTGGACAGGCAGCGCAGCACAAGCTGAGTAGGCACAGGCCTAACTTGGATCACTAATCCTCGATGTACAATGGTCTTCGGGTCAGGATCGCTACCGAATGAGCAGATAGCAAAGTCCATTGAATGGAGGAAGTACTTTTAAGCCTCCTATGTGATAATTCATTAAACAAGTTTTCTGTATGTGGGAAATCAGTGACTAGAATCTTCCACAGATTTCTGGTAATTTTTATTCTTTAGTAGCTTCTCTAGCTTACAGCAAGCAACAAAAATACTCTAGCAATGCAGAGATGTTGGTAGTCTCTCAGTAGCACAGCGAATAGTCAAACACAACCTGCCTCATTCACCAGGCATATCCTAGCAGCCTTTTCCCCCACATTTTTCTTAACCTTTTTCTCCATCGTTTATTCAGGACTTTGGAATCCGCAAACAATTATTTATGCTCTTTCCTCAAGATGGATGGTGTGAACTACACAATTAACATCAACAATTAATTGGATTAAATTTCCTAATTAACCTGATTTGCTAACATTATAGTTGTTAATATTATCAGAAACATCTATCATCTTGAAATACATTAGCAGTTGTCCAATTTGACCACAGCTATTCCACTTAAGGAGGAAGGAGGCAACTTTTGTATATGCAGATAACCTAACAAACTTACTTTATTTGGTAGCTGAGCAACCACAAGGTCACCAGTAAATACAGAACAACCCTATTAAAGTGCATTAAAATACAGTTAGGTTGTGTGAAATGTCACTGAGGAAAAGCAATTAATATAGTTCACACATGAATCTCCTCATGGCAGGGACTTAATTTCTGTTTTGAACAGAGTTCAGTGATTTTTGGCAGCTCATTTTTATAAAAACAATAGAGTAAAAAAATTAAATTAAAACAAAATGCCCCACAAAGTAATTGTAAAAAAACCTGTGTGCTTCTCTTCATTCTTTTTGCTGACTTCTGTTATTCCTGATTTAAGTGACATGCTAAAATCCTTTGCCAGAACAGGACTTGTTTTCCACTAAGAATATAAATAGTTCCATTCAGGTCAATAGGTTAACATCCATGCTTATTGTTTTCCACTAAGAATATAAAAAATTCCATTCAGGTCAATAGGTTAACAGTCCATGCTTAAATGTTTCATTAAAATGAGTAGTTTATATAAGCCCCAGCTGCTCCAGCTTTTGGTAGGTTAATCAAAAGGATACTTACAAGTTATGGGTAAAACTAGTACATGATTTTATATAGACATACTCATATTTAAAATAGTTTTTATAGGATTGAACTAATTGAGCAAAACCAGTTAAACTGAAGTTTGTATGCAGACATAAACTTGCTGCTGAACAAAACCTTTGTTTTTTATACTTACCCAAAATAGCTTTAACAAAGTTACAGGACTGACTGCATCCACACCCAAAGTGTGAGTTATTTTAAGCAACTCTTCCATTTTAATGTGCTAGTCTGGATCTTTGCTTATCAAAGACTTTACATTCTAAACCTTTCAAGAGAAGATTGACATATAATCCATAGAACATGAATTAACAGTGATCACACTTAACCATGAAGTCCTTGATAGCACTACATAAACTAAATTGCTTGCATGGTACAAAAGTAAGTTCTGATGCAACTTAACATACTTCCGCTTTTCTTGAAAGTTGTCTGAGATCTCAGCAACTTTATTTTAAATCTGTGCTTATTCTAATGTTGTTTGCTCACCACAGTTAAAAACATGACTGAAGGGTGGTGAGGAGATCAGGGAGGGAAAACTGGCTCACAGTCTCATAGAATGACTCACATTTTCAGGAAGAAGCTTTAGTTAGACCCTGCTGAGGCTCAGCCTTAAGAGGTCAATCACTTTTCCTCCTCCCTGCAGAAGCTTAATTACTCCTTGTTAGTCAAATAATAAGTTTTTGTCAGGGAGGTTCTAACCAGAGGAAAGATTACGCATTTGTACTGTTACTAATTTTGTTTTATGCCACTGAGTCAGTTAAACTGCCATCAAGGAAAGAATTCAGACACAGCAGCAACTCACAGTTTTCTGCTCATTGTTAGCCCAGATAAAATCTTCCTGAACCACATGTGGCTAGACCAGTCATTTTCATTCTCCACAGGTAAACTAAATTGAAGCAAACAGAAATTGAAGACCATTAAGCCAACTTTGTAGCAAACTGTGTTTCCAGTATCTGCCAGTTCACAGTGATGTTTCAGTAGAAAATAAAACTAAAGCAAATGCCAGTGTTCGTGATCAATGTGTTACAGTTTCTGAACAGACTAGTCCCACCATAAAACATCTCAAGGAAGCATTGGGGGACAGTGTAAAAAACAGTAAGTATATTTATATACTTACATATGGACATTATACCGTAACCCAGTTCTCAAGCCATTTGAGGAATTTGTTTTTTCTACTATTTTTAAATACTTTAAAAAGTTTTATCTCTGGCCTTATACACATGCTTCAAACAGTCTCACTGAAACTATGTAGAAATTAAGCATTAACATTATTTTAGGTGAAATAGGAAGCAGCATTAGATGCTGAATCAGAATGGCAGCTCAGTCTCTCCTACAAAAAAAAAAAAGTTAATTTTCCATTCACTTCTAAGTCTTCTAGAGCAATCTTCAAAGCAATTCCAGCAAAGCACACCTACTTTACTATAGTTTTCTGCTATTTATACATATATGCACAACGCAAGCATTCCTATTCAAACTTGACAAAAGAAACATAATGAAGAGGTAAAACACAGAGCAGTAAGTTACCTTTCAGTTCCTCCCTGGTAACACACATCTTACTCTACATTTGTAGCTGATAAGGTATTTCTCACCAAGTTACAGGACTCACCATAGAACAGAATACCACAGATACCTTGCAGAAACAAAGAGGAAATTAAAACCCAGATGTGTACTGCAGTAACCATCTGATACCACGTTTTGGGATGGAAACTGGAGAGAGAAATCGTCAATGGAAAAAGCCATTTAAGCAGGGTTAGTGTAGAAGACTGTCAATCAATATTGACTCAGTGTCTACAAGACCAAAAGGAGATTAAAATTCCATTTGCTATGGCATAGAACAAATATATGGGGAGATTCTACCCTAAACATCTTAACACCTAAGTAGCTGAGAGTGAAACAGCTGTAGAGATAGGAAGATCACTCAAGGTTGGTGAGACTACTAGAAGTTGGGAATAGGAGGTATTTCTCCTGTCCCCGCCATCCCTATCCTGCAGAACACCTTGGCTAAAATATTCTCAATTAGTGGTGCGTTCTGTTGTCTGTAAATGATGAACAAAATCGTCTCCATCAGGATGCAGGCTGAACACGCAGAATCTTTTCCTGTGCATAAACGGTAATTCAGTAACACCAGCAGTTTTTATGTCCATTAGCCCACCTGTCTGGCAGTAACCCTAGGGATACATAGAAGATCATTAATTAGAATTAGGCCAGTTAGTCTGCTTTCATCTTGAGTCAAACAGAGAAATCAGTTTAGACCAGCATGATTATTCAG